CTTTGGAAATGTGTTCTTTCTCTCTTAACTAGACTGTGGGTATGAAATTTTAACTTGCTATTGTGTTTGTCCATTTCTGCCGGATGGCTTGAATTAGAGCCTGGCTGTGTCTTACATTAATCAAATCAGAAGTGGCCATGTGTGACCGACCATCTTCAGCTGAAACTTTTGGAACTCTTCTGAAATCGGACGGAGCAAGCTAGGGATGGTCTGTAGACACAAGTATAGAAAAGCAGAAACTGCTGGCCGCGTTGCTTGTATCTCATTTACTGGCCAGCTGCCCTTTCTGAAATGGAATATGCAAAGAAGGAAGGAAGACTGTGCAGTTCAATGGAGGAAAAGTAAAAAATAGTTGAGCAAGAGGCAGAGAAAGGTAGCTGAAGTGTCTGCTTCACTGGCTAAGAAACAGGATTTCAGCCATCGTGTGTCACAGGGAAATTATGTACTTCCTGTAACAGGTCCCAGTCATTGGTGTGACTACAGCATTCTAAACCAACACTCTTCAGATCAGGCCCATGTAGAGCCTACTACGGTAATTCAAGCAGGATATAACTAAGACAGATGTCTCTTTTAACCAGATCAGACATTGCTAGTGCACTAGCCTTGATTGTGCAAACAAATATACTCGGTTACTGCCAAAATCTTGGGGCTTTTAGGGGAATTATAATCTCATCCAGCACAGGTTGAATCACTGTCCTTGTCCCTCGTCCAGTCCCACTACTAACTTCAGACAATAGTCCAGCCTGTTTTAGCTGTTTCATATGTATTTTAAATAGCATCCTGAGGGACCACAGGGCCAGGACGTTGAACCGGTCTCCCAGCACCACCTTCTGAAGTAACCCTTCCAGGAGGGACTGGAGTCACTGCAAGGCAATGTCTTTAGGTTCCATACCAGAGAGACACTGGAAAAGATATCATAGTTGATGGTATGAAAAGCTGCTGAGGATTCCAGAAGGACTGATAGGGATGTACTCCCCAGTTCAGTTCCTGGCATAAGTCATACACCATGACAACCACAGCTACTTGTGTACTGTAACCAGGCTTGAAGCAGGACTGAAATGGATTCAGGTAATCCATCTCATTCAGGAACCTCTGGAGCTGAGAAGCCAACATGCATGCCAGTATTTTATCCAAAAATGAAATGCTCGGGACTGGTGGGAATTACATAGTATGGTAAGGTTTGGATAAGGGTCAATAACAGTCTTACCAGTGCCTGTATTAGGCAGGATAGAGCCATTCCTTGCTGTAGAAAAGCAGTCACCAGTCCCCTCAACAGGTTGGCCAGTGCTCCGACAGCTAGGCTGGTCCTGTGAGCCAGGGTTGGCAAGAATCCAACACATAAGTGGTGGCTATCACCTCTCCAAGGACCCTGCTCACATTTTCAAGCTTTACAAACTGGAAAGTACCTTTTGTCGCTGGAAAAGTTACAGGGGTGGTGGCGGGGGAAATCCCTAAGAGAATTTTGTGGTCTTTAGACAAAACAAATGTTGAACTGCTGAAAAGACTATGTGACTCCCTTTGTTGTTGATGATTATTCTGGAGATACCAGGAAAAGTTGCCCCCCCCCAGCACCACTGAGAAGACTACATGGATTCTCTCTATCAACCAAGCTGGACTACAAGCTGAAAGTAACAAATGCATACGCAATCACCAGGTAACATTATTAATTTGCCTTTAATTGGCTTCTACATAGTGATTAAACCAAACTTTACCCCAGCTTTTGATGGAGATAGCTATGTCTCTATGTGGCCTTTCCCCAACCTAACAAGAAACTTGTGCTTCAAAAACAGGTGTTGTGGTGGTGGGGAGAGGTATATACTGAGTAATTGCCTGCTTCTCTTGAATAGCTGGGTGGAAAATTCCAACCACATGTTACCAGGGGTGAAGCATTACATCACTCCCAAAGCCTGATTTTCATCAGCTTTGAACTTAATTTAAGAAGCATATCTGATAGACTTCTGCCATGAATTTTTGGAATACAGTGGTCCCTCGCTTAACGTGTGCTCCATTTAGCGATGAAATTGCTTAGCGACGACTTTTTTTGAGCGTTTTGCGCTTTGTTTAGCAATGGTCCCTATGGGCGTTTTTCGCTTAGCGATGGTTGGGACCATGCTTCGCATAGCGATTAAATTTTGGGTCGCCTGTTTCGCTTAATGATGGTTTAAACCGCCTCATGTTTGCTGTTTTTTAAATGTTTTTCTGTTATTTATAAAGTTAAAGCTTACTGTTTAAATTGTTTGAAATCATAAAGTGCACTTAATAATCCCTTTGTTAACCAAATTTGACTTTGTTCTGACTCTTTTTTAATTTGTTGTTGTATATTTCCCCCATTGAGATGCATTGAATAGGCTTCAATGCATTTCAATTGGGGAACCGCGTTTCGCTTAGCGATGTTTCCTATGGTGAATTTCACTTAAGGGACGGCAATTTCTTCCTATTGGAATAGATTATCCGGTTTTCAAAGCGTTTCAAGGGGAAACCGCGTTTCGCTTAGCGATGTTTCCTATGGTGAATTTCACTTAAGGGACGGCAATTTCTTCCTATTGGAATAGATTATCCGGTTTTCAAAGCGTTTCAAGGGGAAACCGCGTTTCGCTTAGCGATGAAATCGCTAAGCAGCGATTTTTCAGAACGAATTAACATCGCTAAGCGAGGCACCACTGTATTCATTTATAAATTTTCTGCACTGTCCACAAGACATGCATACCTGAAGAAGGGGAGTTTAATCCACAAAACTTCATATTGATTGTTTGATTTCTTTCATTCGTTCGTTCGTTCGTTCTTTCATTCATTCTTTTTTTTGTCTGGATTAGTGATTTTTGTATTTGGCTGTGGAGTCAGCAGTTGGGAGTTCAGTTCTCGACTGCTCCTATGAATAGAGCCAGTCTATGTGGCCCTGAGCAAGCTGTGTAGTCCCAGGGCATCCCCAGAAGAAGGGAATGGTAAACCACATTCTGGGTATTCTTTGCCTTGGAGATCTTGCCTGAAAAGCGTTGCCATAAGTCCAAGCTGACATGGTGGTACATGAGTATTATTAATAAATCTCTGCATTTGTATTTTTATTATTTCAGTTTCAGAAAGACTTTTGGCCTTAAAATAAAATTCTGAATTTAGTGCAAATCCTGAAAGTGCAAATGCTGCAAAATTCTTTAAGTTAGTTGGGACAACCAGCGCCTCGGGTGTATGTGTATTCATGATGAAATATTTGAAAAGTTCTCTCAGCACTCATATTCCAAAAATCTCAGTCGCAGGTTGTTAAATTGCATTCTAGTGAAGGTCTACACATGGGTACAATTTCTTGGTTAGAATGCCTTTTCAACAGTTCAACATGAGTTTGGCCATTTTGGAGCACTTCATAACAGAAATATGAGAGTCCCCCCCCCCTCAAAAAACTAAATTGTGGTTAACGTCATAATGTATAAGCATTCAAATGAAAATCCTTTTTGGTTGCAGGTTACAAAAATGGCAGTTCTTGTCAGTGATTTCACTTTGCAGGTGTAGTTCAATTTGGTTAAATAAACCGCTACTTTAAATAATTGCTCAAATGAAACATAGCAGTTAAACATGACATATAAATGTTTGGTTTCCTTTTTTCAGTTCTGTGTCTTCCTCCTGTGCTGTATTAAGACTTAGTGGTGTGGAGAGCATCCCTGAACTTGAAAAATAAAGTATTTTTTAGATGTGCTCTTAAACCTATAAATAGTGTAAGCAATCTCTGTAGCTTGTTCAGTCTTGTCTAAAGAATAGACCTGCTATAGATTCTGCCTGCATTTTCTGTGAGATAACATTAGTGGGCAAAGCTTTGCATTAGTGCTATGCCTGAAGAGTCCTTTTCTTTGTTCTTGAGTGCCGTCAGGTTGGAACTACAGTACCATATACTGTACTGTAGTGACCCTAATGGTTGAAGGTAAATAAGATAGTTAAAGAGTGGCTTTGCCAGTTCTATACTGTCAGTGAGCTTCGATAGCTGAGTGGAAATTTAGACTCAGGCCTCCTGAGTTCTCGACGATCGCCCTTTCCATTACACCACACTGGGTATCCCAAAGGCCTTAGTTACTGAAATCGCAGTGATATTGATTTCTAACTTTGAGATATTAGTTTTTGTATGAAACACTGTTAAATGGCAGAGGGACAGAGAAGAACTATATATTTGACATATCTTGGCAAAACTTTGCATTAGCATGAAGAGATATGTATTTCTGTTTCTCTCTCTCTCTCTGCATATAATCACTGTGATCTCTTCCCATGGACAGGGCTAAACCCACTTGCTCTGTTTTGCCCATGAAAATATCATATCCAAAATAGTGATTTCTCCCAGTAATGATATGTGGGCACACTATAGTGAAGAATTCTGACATGGAGGCTGAAAGTTAGAGCTTCTCATAAACAGAGAAGGAAATGTTTTAGATTAAAAAGCCCAATGGGATCTGTACTTTATTGCTGAAAGTTCTGGATGTGGAAGAAAGAAACAACCTCAGAGCACCCTAACATTGAAAGGCGGGGGTTTTGTGAATCATACAGAAGGTAAAAAATTATCTATTTCTACCCACTACACCCCAGTCTGGATTTTTTGACCAATGGAAAAGACTTGTCAGGCGATCAAAACCTCTCATGTGGTTGTGTGTTTATGTTCCTTAACTTTTACAGAAGGAAGTACCCTTTACCGCAGGAGATTCTATCTTCCTTAAACCAGTTCCCTCACTGTTCGGCCAGTATTGCCCATTTTAAAAAGTGTCAGACAATTATTTCTAATTAGGTTCATCAGGAATAGCAAAAATGTTTGTGACATCAGTATGCCCTTTTTGTAGTTCCGAAGTATAGGCGTTCGTAGCTCTCTGTGTGTACTCTGTGGTTGCTGTTGTGCAGCTAGAAATTACGTGGGAGACTGCTGCTTCCTCTGAGACAGTCACAGGTGGCCAGAGGTGGGTGGAGTGAAAAGGGGAGAAGCTGTGGGAGAGGCACAACACCCACATCCTTTGGCATACACTGTAAAAACTGCTACTGTTTGTTGGCATAGGCTTTGCGCTAGAAAAGGTTTGAGCTGTACTTTTTCTTTCACTGCTAGCTGTTTTTGTTATGATTTTGAGGTTTGATTTGAAAAGTGCCATTTTTGAGTTAAATAAATTTGTATCCGATGCAGTTGTGGTGGCTAAATTTCGGCAAAAGAAAGTGACGTAGCATCTAGATACTGTATAACTAGGATCCAAAAGTGCTTTGTGCCACCAGATTTAATTTTTCTGGTGTCACCTGAAATTTGCTGATGCTTTCCCTTCCCACTGCAGTTATCTGTTGTTACATCTTGCTGTTTCACGGGGTCTCCTGATCAACCACAAAGATCTTTTTTTTTCTTCAGAGCTTCAGGATGTTTTGGTGGGGAGGATTGGAGAAACACTCTGCTCTGTGAGTAGAATTTTAATTGAACATCTTTTGATCACAGTCATTTGTTGACAAATTTGCTTCTCATTCACCATTCTAGATCCATTGTTGACCCTGATCTTTAACAGAACCTCTACAGAATCCAAGATTTGGTCTAGGCTTGAGGGGGACCCAGGCAGAGTGTCCCCATCCATTGGTGAGTCCCGGAAGAATAATCGATCAATCAAAGCAGTGTTCCAAGTAAAAATAAACGGCTAGGATTAAATGTTCTTTAAATCTCCCACAATTTCCATTGGAAATCAAAAGGCATCTTGATCCAGTTTCCTGACACTTCAGAGCAAGGGCACAGTTGTATTTTTCATAAAAGACAGCCAGGGGTAGATTCTGCAGGGATGCTGTGTCCCCTGGGCCTCTTGCTTGCTCTCTTTTCCCTTCCTATCCAGGCAGAATTCTTAGGATAACATGGAGATGCTCCAGTGTGCAATGCCTTGAGTACCTTGCACAAAAAGTGAGGCAGAAGTATGGTTATAATGAAGCCCTACATTTTAATTAGAGGATACATGTTACGTGTGTTGTTAGTTTTTTACAGTGTAGAAATGGGAAAGGAAGCAAACTATGAGGCCTTCCATTCCTCATTTCTATACTACTGCTATTGGAGCAAGTCTGATTAAAATTTATTTCTTGATAGAGCTGAATTTGCTGTTGGCTTAGTGATTACCAGGGAATTGAATGTGTGAGTATTGGTGAGCCACACCAACAGAAGGGTTTGTTTGGCTTTTTTCAAAAAGCGCAAGTAGATTGCACAGTAACTTTTCCTTCCCAATATTTTGTATGAAATACAAGCCTGACACACTATGTCATGCTTAACAATAACTTGTTACTTAAAAAAAAAAAGAAGAAGAAACAAGCTATGTACCGGAAACTAATAAACAAAAGAGACTAGGTGGAGTGTTTGTGCCTTGGTTTGTGAGGGCGAAAAATAGAAAATCTGTGGGCACAAGTGAGTGTTTTTGTTTGTTTGTTTATTTTTTGTTTTGTTTTTTACCTGTATAGACATTGCCACATAGCCAGTGTTTTAAGGTATGGCAATCTTTCCATTTCAGCCTAAAATATTTTTTCTTTTCTTTGGGGTGCAAATGTTGTATTTGCTTGGAAATCAGATGGTCAGAAACGAAGCACTAGTCCATTGTGCTTTTCCATGGGCAGAAGCCTGACTTTCTATTGGGAGTTGTGTCTTTGTTCATATTTGTGACAGGATCTCTGACTATCAGTCTGGGGAAAAAAAGTTTTTTAACATACAAACCTATATTCTTCTGCATTTGTAAGGGAGTCCACCAAGTGTGTACATTATTTTGGGGTGATTCGATTTTACTTCCAAACAGATAAGTGCCCAGTTATCTGATTTTGGTATTATCTGAAAGTTAAGATGAAGGGTGTGGCAAGGGAATAGATTAGAATGCGAAGGTAAGTACAGTGGTGCCCCGTATAGCGAGGTTAATCCGTTCCGGATTAACCCTCGCTATACGGAATCATCGCTAAACGGGTAGGGGAAAGGTATTGGAATGCATTAAACTTCGTTTAATGCGTTCCAATACCTTCGTTACTTACCCGTTCAGCGAGGATTCCAGGTGCCGGCAGCCATTTTCGCGCCTTCGCTAAGCGAGGGCAGGGCACGAAAACGGCTGCCGGCAGCCATTTCCGGGCTTCCGGCGGCCATTTTGTGTTCTATTTTAAACCCACGTGGAAGTATGAGTTTGAGCTCCAAAATGGCCGCCGCAATACCCGATCTTCGCAATGCGGGTTTTCCCCATTGCGAAGATCGGGTATGTTTCCGTATAGCGATCCCGAAAAAGGGATCGCTATACGGAAACATCGCTATACGGTGCACTCGTTAAGCGAGGCACCACTGTATATAGAGGGAACAAGTGAAAACTCACCAGGAAGAATTAATTCCTCCCCTCACTAGGTAGGAAGTTCAGATGACTCCCATGTCCCCATCCTTCCTGAAAATATTCCTGGATGCTAAACATTGCATTAGTACTTGCACCTCTGTATGATGCCCATGCAGAACATACACATAAAACTTGGGATGCATTTACAGAGAGCAGATTCCCTCTCTCTCTCTCTCTCTCTCTCTCTTTGCATAGGATCCGTGTTGTTCTCCTACAAGTTATTGCTATTGCCAGGAAATTTGATTTGTCTTGTGCCTAAAACAGCACAAAATGTCTTGTTGACAGAATGAAAATTTCCCCAGCAAGGACATCAGTTGTGATTAATGCTGTATTGACTGTGGTATGTTTCTGTGTGACTGTTGAAGGCATTTCTAGAGGGTGGAAACAATGCATTATGAAGCCGTCTGGTTTTACCTCCATAAATACATTACTGTACTGATTTTGTTTGCTTAAGGCATATTGTACAGTTAGCACAACATTAGTGTAGTTATAAGATGGTTCTATCAGCAACATGTTGCTTGTATAAATGGGGATGTGCTTGCTGCTCTGTGCAGTTCTCTGTGTTTCCTTGCATTTGGAGAAAATAATTATTTTTTCCTTTCTTTTGAGAGAAAGCAATTTCTTGTGGCGACACAGAAGCAGAATCACTTGGAATCTTCTTATCTTCCCTCTTCTTGCTTTTGCTTTTGAAGTAACTGACAGCAATTCATCACTTTGAATGTTAAAAATTAATATTTAATGCCAGATGTTTCAAAAGACATCTTTAGGTGTGGAACTATCGAGAGAGGTTTTGCTTGCAGATTTGCACATTATTTCTAAACCTGCTTACAACTTACTTAGGTATAAGCCCCTTTGTACTCAGCTGGACTTCCATGTATATTATACATACGATCCAGCTGGTGTTGCTGGAACACTTGCATCTAAATGCTCATGTTTCCTTTCTGTTTCCTCTTACCGCCCTGTGTTATCACTAGGGTAGCTCTGTTTTTGGCATTCTGAAACTGCTCTTGTATCAAAAGTCGGAGCTCTGTTTTCATGTTGCCTTCCAGAAAAGGCAACTAACATACTGCTGGGCCCAAAAACCTGAAAGCAAAGTGCATTGGATTAAGCCTCAGTTTAGCCAGTCAACCAACATTTATTTATTTAATTCAGAATATAAATTCCATCCCACCTTCTCCCTTCAGCAGAGACACTAGAAATGGCTAGGAAGACCATTGGGGGGGGGGGGAATATAGCTGTATTTATATATGAGTAAAAACAAAATTTAGAATTAATTGATACCATCTGAAAGGCAAAATGCCTTTTAAAAAATCAGAGTAGATATCATGCTTGTTCCTGACTTGTTAGCAGGAGGGGAAAAAAGATGGCAAATTTAAAAATATTTTAAATAAATCAATAAATTTGGTGAAAAGCAAAAATGCTATGGTGTCATTTTACTGTATGTCATCTTCTTGTCAACCAGAAAAAGAGGGTGAGAGAAACCAAAAAGGACAGAAGAAGATGACAGTAATCCCATCAGTGAAACAAATAATCAGATAACAAAATATGCACCAGCTTTATAAATAGCATTAGAAAGAAGCAAAGGACAGAACAAATGCTTTTTTGAAACTCTGGTGATATTAATGGCTTGAGGTTTTAAAACCTCAACAGAATGCAAACAGAAGGATATTCCAAACACTTAGAGGGTGGAGCTCCATAGGAGAAGTGTGCACCAGTGAAGGCCTTTGCATCTAGAAGTTGATCACACATGTAGGAAGCCTTACCTACTGATATTAAATTAAAGGCAGAGTTAAATATGAGGCCAGGGGCTTTTCAGATGGCTTGGTCCCAAACATTACAGGGCTTTAAAGACAATAACAAGCACCTTGAATTATACTTGAAAATGGACTGGCAACCAATGGGAGCAGCAACAGGTAAAAGAAATAATTGCTTCACAAGTGAAAGACTGTCTCTGCTTTCCACCTGTAGATAATAAAATAATACTGTATTTAGAGGGAAAGTGCTATAAACATCCTTATATATTAATAAACCCTGATTTTTGAACTGACTTCTGGTCCTTTTAAAGTAGCATTGAAGAATAGGTAATAGCCTAGATATATCTAACAGGCACAGTCAAATAATCTATTGCCCTGTGGTTTCTCTTTGTTGAGAATCATAGAATTGGGAATCATAGGATTATGAGAAATGTGATTTGTCTGTATTGGTGCGCCCACTTGCATTCTGTTTCTCTGCTTTAAACAAGATTGCTGGTCATCACAATGCTGGGAGGAAAGACCTCTGTTGACAAGAAGGAGGTGGCTGTCCTTTAAAATTAAGAAATCGTAGATGCCCCTCCCTGTCTTCCGAAAAATGAAACCACTGCTTGGAGAAGTTGTCCCTGCTTAAATAGACTTATTTGGTAATGCACCCGTCTCTGGCCTCTAAACATCCATCCCGGATGCCAGCCAAGCCATACTTTCATTCTAAAACTGGTGGTAGTGCTCCATTCCATGCCAGACACCAGAGTGTTGTTGGCTAGGAAATCCTGCATAGCTAAATTGGGAATTCCTCTGCTTTACTTCTCCCAAAATAGCTCAGCCACTCGGCTCTCAAAGCTTTTGACTCTTCTTCAGTTCCAGGCATTTTTTTTACCAGGAAGAACTGAAGCGTTTTGGTATTTCTGCATCTGAATCACCTGAACGTATTTTGATATTGTGCTTTTCAGAAACTCAGGCTGCTGGAACCATGTCCAAAAGATGGTTGTAACAGGCGTATGAAATTCTCTCCAAATGCCAGTTGGTATTTAATCGGCTCAGTGGTATGACCTAGCAGCTTACACGTTTGGTTTCTTGTTACCAGCATCCTGAGATTTATGGATTCTCAGATCCCTGTTAAAACGGGAGTCTCCTGCTAAACTATGGAATGTTGATTGTGGCCAAGTTCAAGGCAAGAAGTTAAGGATTAACAAGCTAAATATTAGAGGCCCTTTCAATAGTCTTTTCTAATGGCATGGTCTGTTTTTAAGTTTGCACCTCTCTTGAACATGTGTTCAAGATACGTACATGTTACTCAGTGGAGAAGTGAATGGTCCAACAATGGTGTTCTTCATGCATCTGCATTAAGCTAGCATGCTTCTTTTGATTTGTTTTCTGTAGGAATTATTCAAACAAGTGGAGGACAGGCTGAATGATAAACATGATAATTCTGAAATGTTCTTGGGGAAGATTCATAGAACACTTTTAGCCATAGAATTCTCCTTATCCAT